CAGTTTTTGTGTTGGATGTAAAAGGCGCACATGACGCTGTGACGTAGGCTAGAATCATGGCAGCAGTCAATGACGGTCCAGGCGTGGGATTTCTCTCGTGGAAATATGCAAATTATCTTTTCCTTTCTATTGGTAGGTGGCACAGTGCACTTGTGGCAAGTAAGCAAGCTAGAAGACTGGCAAAGTTATGGAAGCAACACATTAACAAGAGAATTCTGAGTAAAACCAAAGTAACTTTCCCTAGTAACTAGTTACTTTGAAAGTAATGAGTAACTTGAAGTAACTGAGTTACTTTTGATAGAATCAACTAGTAATGTAACTAAGTTACTATTTTAAAGTAACTTACCCAACACTGAAAAAGAGTAATCCAGAGATTTTTTTTTTTTTTTTATCTCAGGGAATGAAATAAATAGTGAAGGAGAAGGAGCTCAGCAAATCTCCAGCTGTCATAAGGTATAAAGGACATTTCAGACCTTGTATTAAAATGCAGTAATTCTGTTGCCTTACAGGAATTTTCCGTAACTTTTAAAGAGAAAACTTCAGCACAAAAAGAGGACTTGGGCTTATCTGGGTATCGTCATATTTAACCCTGGGTTTTCAGTGTTATGAAGGCGATTTACTTCTCAGCTGGTAACATTACCATAACAACTTCATGCTATATTCAAGATTAAAAGATTAAGATTTAAGATCAACAGGTATGAAATCCCTGCCTACTAACCACTTAATAATCTGGAATATAGCATCACCAATCTGTGATGATGCCTCTGTGTACAGACTGTAAGAGGATCTGCTTTCATAATAGCGTCTAAAGCATTTCCCAGATGAGCATCAGTAATAAATATAGATTCTTAGATGCAACTTTAGTGCTGCATTTTCCTGTTGGCTACAAACAATTTCATTACTCTATAAGCATTGATTTATGATCTTAAAACCTGTTGACAATTGACTTGTTGATCGAATGCGCAAATTACAATTACATTTTTAATATTTAATCTTTACTCTCAGACACTGGAACTGCAGATGAACAAATAAAAACTAAAACTGTCTCACGCACCTCTAAATGTTAATGGAATTACAACTGAGTATTATCAGGGAGCATTGATACCCTGTTAATTTACACACTCAGCATTTTTGCAGATTTCCTTCCTGGCCTCAAATAGGACAGATTTTATGAGTATAGTGCATGTTTTCCACCCTTGGAAAAACTTTTAAAGACACTTTTTAAAGACACTCATACCACTAAATTGTCAGAAGCAGCTGTGTTGCTTTCAGTCTGTACTATGTGTGTAAGCTCCTTATATTTCCAAATCGTATAGTTATATCTTCTTTGTAAAATCAGTCAGATCCAACACTTGTGGCTTATTTGGAAAACCTTGAGTTAACCCTGGATTCACTTTTTAGATTTATAATCACCTTCATGAGATAGCTCAGCCTGATTGCTAGAGGTGAGCAGATTGACCCAAATATCCATAGTATTGATACCAACGCCGGTATTGGTAGTGGATCGATACCAGCGCTATAGGACTGATGCTTTGTTTCTATCCTCAGTTCAGTATGTAACCCACTGAATACTGTTAAATAAATTATAATTTGGGAAACTACAAAACAGTTTGAGCCTTTTTTATTTTGAATGTCATTTTGTTATTTTATTTATAGCCCATTGCACATTCAAACAACAGAAGTTGACCCGAACGCTCAAAAAACTGAAATGTGTGTTTTGTTGTATGAATTAATTGTGGAAAGGAAAAATCACAGTGATTTAGCGGTCATTGATAATGTGTTCAGAATTTGGAAATGCATTGTTCAGTTCATAAACTGAATAATAAATACAGATACATTGTATATACAGAGCTAAACTGTGTAACTGAGCCACTTTGCCAACTTTTAAACGATTCTTTATTTATTTAGTGTTCCTCATTGTACTTTTACTTGATCATAGCTTATGCAGCTTCACAATAAAACATTACCACTGATAAAATAATTTTATAATCTGCCACAAACTACAAAAAGCAAAACCCAACACAGGGCTGAAAATTTAGTACGACTGCTAACTACTGGCTACTAAATCAAAATATCTAAATACCACTGTCATATTTATTTATCTAGTTATACCTGGCATTCAGATTAACACTAAAAAAATATTTTTACCAAGCAGATTCATCTTAATATTCTTCTTCTTTTGGCTGCTCCCTTTAGGGAGTCTCCACAGCAGATCATCATCCTCCGTCTCACCTTATCCCCAGCATCCCCTTGTGTCACACCAACACTCTGCATGTCCTCTCTCACTGCATGCATGAATCTCCCCTGTGGTCTGCCTCTTTTCTTCCTGCCTGACAGCTCCACATTCAACATAATTTGTCCAATATACCCACAATCCTTCCTCTAAATGTAAACCCACTGTCATCAATGACAGGCTGAATTAAATTAGTGAGTGTTAGCACTTCATAGTGTGTACTCTGCAGCTTTTTTGGGCTCATGGAATCTGAACTTATTCCACTTTTTCACATTTTTGGACACTGTTATTTTATTATTTTTAGTTTTCTAACAAAACATATTCAAATTACAGTTCGTTTATGGATTTAGGGTTGGTGTTACAGAGGAAGCTGCTAGGGACAGGGTGAGATGGATGCACATGATCCACTGTGGCACTGAGCTTTAATTTGAGGGGTTGAGCAAAAAATTGCATAAAATTGCATTGACCTTTACAAAACCACAGCTTCCTATTTCATGAAGAACTGTTTTTTCTTTGTTTAGTCCTTTCTAAAAATATATAGATCTATCCGTGAGAGGTATGTGGCTCATCCACTGTGGATTTTTCAATCACAAAATGTTGGTATTGAGGGATTTGTTTTATAAATAAATAGGTAACATTTCAATACTGCACAATAAAACAAATATTAGAAGTTATTGGGGAAAGAAAAATTACGCGTTCCCCTTGGATTTCTTGCTTTCGTGGCTTCCGGCTTTGGGAAACTATTTTTTTAATTTCCTTGAACAACACAGATGTGGTTATTTTTCATTCCAGAGTACGGGCAGTATTGGCCAGAATATGGCCCAGAAGTGTAGCCATTTAATTTAAATGTGAACTAGGCTTTATAAATGCAAAAGGAAATTGCACTGCAATAATTAAACCTGTAAGATAGCATTATAAATTAAAGGACAATACAGAGCAGCTGTAATGGTTCAGCTTGCGGCCTTTTACATTTCCTAGAAGATTTAATAATTTCCTGTGACTCACTAAATACTTTAATGTTTGTGAAAACAGCCAGTTCGCCTGCGCGGTTGTTAGTGAATATGGCATAAGGTGAAACTAAGCAATTAGAGTCACGGAACTGCATAGGCAGGTAAAATGGCTCACTCTGCTCACATCATACACGCCTCACGTCACATACTTTCCCAATTTAGTGGTCTATTTATGCTGCAAAATCTCCCATCTATTTCTCTGGCTTTTTAGGTTTTTGGCTGATGTTTCAACCCCTCCACCACTCGTATGTCTACCTGTGAGCGGCTGTCTGACTGAAGAGGGAGCAGCATTAGTCAGTAATATAATCCAGCGGTGTATTTACTTTAAATTTAATGAAGGCTTTCAGATTGTTATATTAGAATTGGAAAAGTCCAACTAGTGGCAAAGTTTTCCAGCGACAGATTTAATATTATATTATTTCAACAATAACCATACAGCATGTGGAACTAGAGGCAAGGAGCTGACTTTAACTTCAGCATCACTTTATAGGATTAAATAATGGCGGCCGATGTTTTCTTTCCTATCTCTTTGTGCCATATTGTGTGTGTGCGTGCGTGTGTGTTTACCCAAATAGGGAGGTCAGTGTCAAAGCTGCCAGAGGTGCTGCGGTACTCAGTGGGATAGATGAGGGAAAACGATCGGAGTGTGTGCTCCAGAAGACTGCAGGCGAGTGTGTACGCCCGTTTGCAGCGCAGACGCACACACACACGCAAGATCCGCTCCAGGTCGCCTTGATATTTTAACATCTGTTTGCCATCCACACGGGTTACCTAATGAGAGAACACACACACACAGGAGTACATGAACACACAGGCAATTCACTGGAGAGTTGTGTCTTAAATATTAAGGTTCTCCAGTAAATCGTAGCGTCTGGCGCGCTCCCACTCACGGTAAGCTCCCAGGGGCAATAAAACAAACCTGAAAGAGTATCAATATTTTCTGGTTACCAATAAAGCTCTTTGCAATTTATGACTGTGCAGGGTGTATGATGCAAAAAAAGTCTTTTGGCTGTATTTCTTTTTTTTCTTTTTTTTTGGTCTCACAATGTCACAACTATAGCCTTTTAAATTTAAAAACAGATAAACACACCAGCCGGTTTCGTACGTTGTCAGTGTTTTCCACCGAGGCATCCCCAGTGTGCAAATCACTCAAGCAGTGGTGAAGAAAATTAACTTCTCTTAAAGCAAACAGCCATTTCTAGAGTCACAATAAAGCCTTGTATTGTTATAATCAGTCACACGCATTACGTTTTTAGGAGTGTGTGTGTCCTTCTCTCACCTCAGAGAGCAGCTGGAGATTCCACAGCAGCTCCTTATCCAGCTCATCTTCACTCTGCAGCTCCTCACCTACAGACACACACACATAAACAAGCTGAATTATGTACTTCACTGCTCCCCAGACAGATCAAGCTCCTACTGTCAAATTTTGGGATCAAAATTCACTTGTTTAGCCATGTTAGCTGCATAGCTGGCAGCCTATTAGTTTACCTGTATAAAAGCAACCAAAACCGGTTTAAACAAACTAAACAAACAAAGGTAAATAAAAAACAAAAAGAAAAGTTTTTCTATTAATCTGCTTGACAAAAATATTATTTTCACCACTTTGAGGATCTTATGGTACAAAATTTAGAACCCAACTTAAAGTGCTGCTTACTTTGGCATAGTATGTCAAGTCTTGTTAAAACGTTGGTCTAATTTTGACGTATTTCACACAAAATGTAAAAAACACAAGCCAGTTTTATGCAAAAGTGGGCATGTGAGTAAAAACAAGTAAATAACACACTTTGTTGTCAATGATAGCCAGTCAAAGCCATCTCTAACATGTTATGTTACACTTTATTACATTTAATTTAAGTTAATGAATATACTTCTTCAGATTATTGGTGCCCCCTTGGAGGTGATGGTGATAGTCAACTGAGCCACCCTGTCATCAGGGTACAACATGTGAGTCATTAAGGCTCAGTACCATCACTGCAGCCAAGGTGTCAATCCTTTGTGAGGCACTGCCCCACCATGCCATCATGCAAGATGTTGAGGTGAAACAAATCAGAATTTGAATGAGGGTTTCATCACCTGGGCAAGCTGATAGCTGGTCTCAAACTTCTATTCAATAACGGCTGTTCACAGGGAACATACATGCCTACTTCTCCTTATAAAATGGAACTTTAGCATCCGCGAAAAGAGTCTCCTTTCTCCTTTAATGTGCATACCTGAGTCTTATATTGTTGAAGTGGCTCCTATGTTACGCATCTGTAGAGTGGTTGTTTGGCTTCTCCGATGTATGCACTACTTAACAAATTTATTAGACTACTGCCATCACTAAATCTACAATCTCATGTTGTAACACCCCACAGGCATGGAAAATTATGCAAACTGGCCCTTGTAAAGGAGTGTCAGGCTTTATATGCAAACTGAAATGTCTTCAAGTTGCAGGTTAAGGTAACTATGAACGTGGAGACAGGAGCCAGAAGACCAATAAAACTTTCAAGTAAAACAGCTGTTCCGATGTATATCACAAGGAAACTTTCCCTCCAAACTGCACATGTCACACATACCATTAACATTTTCTCATTTTAAGTTCATGAAATGAAAGCTGTCAACTAACAACCAATTAGCATTTAAAGAAGTGGGCACTTTTAAAGTCAAACTTCTATCTTCATTTTTTTCCCAGAGTCCACTAAAGTGATTTTGCATGATTTGCAGTTCAAATTCCCCCCCTTGTCTATCTTATGCTGGGCCTTGGCGCCACTTCTGAGTTCATCCACTGTCTGAAACCAAGCATTTAGAGCAGTCTGAAGTCTGAGCTTTTGACTCACAGGGATTACTTATACATACACTGACCTCATTATGTGAAATTTTGGCCAACATACTTTTTCCAGGACTGCCCAAGCTTTTGCATACAACTGGGCTGCCAACATACATGAGCCAAGTCTCAAAGTTAATTCACACAGTTTCTAATTTCTTTCTAATTTCCCTTAAATTTGTCCCACTTAGACACCACCAGTTGCTAAAGAATACTACTGTTAGAGAAAAACACTTGCTTTTTACAATTTCACTTTAAATTCTCTTATGACTTCATACGATGTCTTATAATACCTCCTAATTGCTTTGAAATCATAAATGAACTAACAGTGTTCTGCAAATTAAAGAATGAAGATTTTTATTTACTTTGCAAACTGCAGGTTTCATTTATCACTGAATGAATTCTGAATTAACTAGTTTAACGCTTATTGGAACAGCCTTAATGCAAACAGAGTTACATTACTACACACACACACACTGAACTGTTGCACAGTTATACTGACTGTCAGTAATGTGGGAGATGATGCTGCAGCAGTGAGGGACAAACAGTCGGAGAGACTCGGAAGGATGACACTGCAAACAGACACACATGTGCACATCCAGAAAGTACACACATAGATATGCACACATACATTTAGATGCCCAAGCACAAACACTAATACATGCATAAGATCACAAACAGTAAACCATCAAAATGAGGCCATAACATAGTAAATATGCATGTAGAAAAACTGCATTTTACAACATCTTAAGCACATGAAATCTTTGTTTGACATTCTTTAATTATCTTAAATGAAAACCATCACATATTGTATAAAATGGAAATTGAGAAGAAGAGCTAAACATATACGTACCTTTGCTGCAGCTCTGCACATGTCAGCCACCATCCTGCCTGACACGCATGTCTCGAAGATGTTTGAGGTGGCAAAGTTAAACACTTTCTGCAATGCAACCTAACACAGAGGAAGGATTTAAAAAGATCGAGTGATGTACTTTATTACTGCTATTTTCATTTATTTATTTAGGGACAAATATTAGAAATAAACATCATTTCTCAATTAATAACCATCAAATGAGACACTTTATATGGTAAAGTAGAGACTAAAACAATATAGAAACTCCATTCATCCCCTTTGAGCAAGCACTTGGCAACAGTGGAAGTGACCTCTGACAGAATCAGGCTCATAGAGCGGCAGCCTTCTGCCAACATTGTTGAGACATCCAATTCTCTGTCTGCACTTATATTGTAATTAAGGGATGGATCAGGGTCACATGATCAAGCCCCAGCTATTAAGTATAATTATAAAAGTCTGCCTCATCAGTCCAAATAAGGATCTGGTACCACGGGAGAGAGGAGACCTCGAAACTAGGAATCACAAGTAAGCCTGCAGTCTGACAATGAAATGCTCTACTGGGATAACACGGCACTATGAGGTCTTTTAAATACAGCAGAGCTTGGTCACTCTGTGGGTTTTGTATGTGAGGGGAAGGATATAAACTAAATCCTGGATTTTCAACCTGCTCTCAGGGAAGTTGTGGTGGTGTGTCTCAGTTACACACAAGGTGTCCTTGTGGTGACACAAGGTTATGGCATTAGAGAGATGGAGGCTGTTACTCATGTTTTTCAGTGGGTAGGTTTGCTGTAGTGAAGAAGTGTTATCTAAACCTCACCAGTGAGTGAAAGTTAAAAGCAAGTGGAAACAAGTGGGATTAAAGTGACACAAAGGTGCAAACAAGCTGCAGACAATGGTCTCCTGGCTAATAAACCTGTGGCTTATGCCCCACCGCCATCCCTCTTTCGAGGTCTTTGAGAAAGGACTGTTAACGTCTCTCGGGGGCAATGCATCAAGGCACCGATGCAAAAAGTCACCTTGTGCGTAATGGTGAGACGCAGGTGGCATCTGAAAATGGCTTCATTTGACGTCCTGAGATGGGAATGCGTCAGGAATTTACAGGAAATCAGTGAAAAGAAGCTGATATTGAAGAAATATGATCATCTCTTTCCATTGTCTGTCAGTACTCTCCATGCTGCGTTGCTACATTTTGTATCAGTGGGAGGCTTTTCAAAAAGCTTTTAGAAAAGCCTGATAATAAGGAATTATAATAGTCAAGCCTTGATGTATTAGATACATGGACTAGTTTTCCAGCAGCACTTAGAGACTGTATGCGTCAATCTCTGACAATAATGCACAGATAAGAGAAGGCACTCAAAAGCCAATTTTTTTTTTTTTTGCGAACCATATATGCTAGTTAAAATATGACTCCAAGCTTTTGCATAGCAGTAGAGGAGGCCAAGGTAATGTCATCCTGAGTAAATCTGGTTTTAGGGCCAAATACAATAAGTTCTGTTTTCTCTGAATTTCGAAACAGAAAATTACAAGCCAAGCCACTAAATTTTCACTCGCTGAACTGTGTGATGTGGCTTCATTGCTAAATATAGCTGGATATAATTTGCATAGCTATGGAAATACGTGCCATGTTAAGGTCAGCAGTCGAAATTAGGAGGTGATAAAGAATTGTTTGGGTAAGGTCAGAGTACTGCGGGGACTGAATTAATAAACTTAATTAAAGAGAGAGTGAAAGCTTTGAAAGTGTTGGTGCGTATTAATGCACTACCTTGTATATCTCCAGCGAGCACTGTGTTAAGATTGTGCTCACAGTGGAGGAAAGGCCCAACTCCACCAGGCTTTCCAAATGAGTCTGAGTATCCGTCTCCATCTCATCTCGTGTCTGTTCCAGGGTACTGCTGTCTATCAGAGCAAAGCACCTGCACAAAGACACACAAATACACAAGCACACACTTAAAACACTCCGCAGTAATGAAAATGTCAACAGCGCCATGGAGGAAAAAAAAAACTGGTGCATTTCAAACAGAGAGACGCATTCGCATTCAGACACTGACAACAAAGCTTTACTAAATGACAGACTTGTTAATGTATCTCTACCTGTCCAGGAACTGCAGAACAAAGTCTTCAAACTCAGCCGAAGCGAAACACAGATCCTTTTCAATCTGTGAGGAAGAAAGGAAGAAAGGAAGAGATGATTAGTATTTGTGGAATACTACAGTGCGTTATTTTATTTCTTTGTAGGTGTGCTTGTCTCCGAAGAAAGCTTTTGAAGAGTAACTCTGACACAGAAAGAGGAGGGTTAACTAAGCAGCTGGCTACCAGGAAAATCCACATCTCAGTTTTTACGCTTTGATTTCTGTAAAGTTTAAAAACATCACGCTATATTGCAATTAGTGACCTTTAAAGGTTCTGGCAGGCAGATTGTGTTGATGCTGTTGACCTAGCAAGTGATTTCCCCTATTGCCAGTTTTATGCCATGCAACCATTTGCACATTTGGTGCATGAAATATGAAAATTATTTCAGTGCTTTCATCAAACTGTCATTGAGGTAGCAAATAAGTATATTTCAACAAATGTAAATTAAGCATTTAAGGTTACTATTATTCAAATGAAGGATATTACAATGCTAATCATAATAATAGTTATTATTCGCTCAATTGAAATGATGTTATTTGTTATATTAATGTTATATTAATACGATGCTAGAGTTTTGCAAAATATCCAGCGCTAGTAACTAATTAACGCCTCAGTATTGTATGTAGGTGGCAATATTGTGTCTTATAACACAGGCTGACACCCACTGTACAATAGATGTAAAAAGGAAAAGGGACTGTAAATAGTGTGAATAAAGTGAGTGCTTCTTTTTCTTCAGTTATTATGAGTAGCACAAGAAGAGTATATTTCACTTTTATAGTATCAGTGTCACCTTCTGGCATTAAGCAGCTATTAATTATGACTTTATTAATTATGATTACTCTGTTGCTTTAAATATAAAAAATCTTGTTTGTTTTTAATATTATTCATAAGGTAAACATTTATTTCATAATTGCCGTGCAATGATGGTGAAGCATCCAAACGTATGCTCTGGCTAATACGCAATTTAAACAATGGGCTGACTCCTTAGCGCACCGCAGTAAACCGGTCTAATAATGGCGCAAACTCACAGCTCACCAGTTAATTTGCTCATTAATGCAGTTATCTAGTTATTAGCCAATCACATGGCTACAACTCAGTATATTTAGGCTTGTAGATATGACCAACATGACCGGCGGAAGTTCAAGCTGAGCATCAGAATGGGGAAGAAAGGTGTTGGGTCTGTCTAGCACAGGCCCACCGCTGGAACGAGACAATTTAAAAACACAGCAAACGCATTGAACACCAAGTAGGCAAAGTTCTTCGTGTTACTCATGCATGAGGGAGACCTGCCTGGAGCCAAGTGTCGTTCCACCACTTGACCTCCGTCAGACTCTCAGCCAGGTTCCCCATAGCACTCCTTTTATTGTGGTAACATGAATATGCATAGGGTCATTAACATATAACATCTTACATAGGTATACGTGTGTGTGTGTGTGTGTGATCAGAGTGTGACCCCATAAAGACTTCCCTAAACCTGCTGGTCTGGAAGTCCAGCAGTCCATCTAAACAAAAAAAGGCACTTAGCCTAAAACAGATATAGCCACGTTTATCCTACCATAAAACAATAAGAGAAGGTACGACCTCTCCCATGCTCCCAGAGTGTGGGTGTGGATGCCAGAACACTCTGGAATGCGCACAAAGCCTTTGCAGACTATTAAGGATCACACATCCTATCACTACACAATCGATTCTACACCTCTACCAATCTAAAACTAATTATAAAACTCTAAGCATATATAAGTAGATATTTCTAAGCATAAATGACAATCAACATTACAAAACCTAAGAAAAGGTGACATGGCTGTTGGTGCAAGACAGACTGCTCTGAGTATTTTGAGAAATTGCTACTCTACTAGGATTTTCCCAAGCAAGGGTTTAGAGAAAATGGTCCAAAAAATATAATAATCAGTGATCATCAGTTCTCTGGGTGAAAATACCTTATTGATACCAGAGGTCCGAGGAAAATAGCCACACTATTTTGAGCAGACAGGTAGGGAAAAGTAACTTTAAAGACTGCTCTTACAGCCAAGATATTCAGAAAAGCATCTCTGAATGCATGTCGAACTGTGAAGTAAATGAGCTGCAGCAGCAGAGGACCAGAAGAGTAGGTCCTACTCTGGTCAGCTGTGAACTTTCAAGCGAGGATACAACCAGGAATAGGGTCACTAAAATTGGACTGATGAGTCTCGATTTCTGCTGTAATATGCCATGGCCATGGCATGAAGACCAAAGGTGGTTCTGGAGGTAAAAGTCGTTCTAATCCAGTAGTAGTGAGGTGTACCTAAAGATGAGTTTGGGGAGTATCTCTTGACTTATTCAGTATTTCTAATTTTATGCTAAGTAGTGTAATGGAATGTTTAATATCACGGCATGGACATAATACTCAAACCCATGGTTTAGGTATTTGCAAAATAACAGTAGATTATTTTTGCTTTTGGACAAAATCAAGCTACAATGTTGCAACAGAAAAAAACAACAGAAACATACCGACAAACATATGTCATATGGATCCTCCAAATATTGTAATTCAGTGTAGAAAGGGAAAGTTTTTTCTTCTTCTTTTACTTCTTCTCTTACAAAATAATTGTTGTCTCATTTTGTTAAAATCCCAAAGGTTTAACTTCTAATTGTAGGCGGCTTAAGTGCTGTGGTGGATGCCAATTTATCCCAGAGTTTTAAGAGTAAATGCCAAAAGCACAAGATAGCCCCGAGTTACAAAAACTTTTGGCTCATCAATATGTGATTTTAGACTCTCCATTATGTTTAGTTAATCTTTGTTAATATGTATCATGCGCATACCTCTGTGAGATCATTGCGCTGGGAGGGAGCAGACGAACAATCCACTAAAGGCACCAGAGTGGTGAAGGTGGTGATGAACTGGAACGTTATCTGGACAGAGAGACACAGCAGGTGCAACTTATCAATTTACATCATCTGACATGATCACGCTGCATGTTAAATACCTCACCAGATGTCGCTGCAATAACTTTTTCAAACGCACTAATATATTCTGGTGTGATGGATTAATACAGTCTGAAGAAAATCAGCACACTAGAAGAGAGAACCAATCCATTTTACAATTCAAGCAGAAACTGAAGACTGAACCGCATTAATTGCAAAGTTCTTCAAACCGAGCTATTCATTCCACTTTCAGGAATTATTAATTGGAAAGACCTGAATATGCAACAGAAAATGGGAATTTAATCAGTGAGAGCTGCATTGTCTACTTGTCTAACAATTCTTCTTTATTCCTCATCAACGCATCAATTACTCACCATACACTTGCTAAAGTCATTGGGGTCCACCCCTGGCAGAGAGCCCATAAGCAGTGGGAGCACGTGCACACGGCCCTCTGGGTAATGGTTGTTAGGGGAAACAAGACTGCGAGCCATCCCAATCATGCAGCTGAGGGTGGCAGTGAGGGTGTGCGGCTCAGTCAGGGTCTCCATTGCTGCATAGGTTCTGTTGTACGTGAGACACAAGGATGATAAATAAGACAAAAAGAGTTTGGATAAGAGGGACAGTGCATGTTGATTTTCTAAATAAAAGTGTACATTCATTATTATTAATTTTGATTTTTGTGTAAAGTGACAGAGCATGTTAATGGACATCAGTAAAAAAATATGAAATATGAGATAGATATATCTCCACCCTTCCATTGAGACCATTAGTCAATGGATCAGCTCCGTTGCTGGAATTTTTCCCCTTATTTCACACCACACTAGGATATGCCGTATTCATCTACCAGCACTTTGCAAATACATTTTTGGTGCAAATTTATTTCTGCTGTTACTTTTTATCATGTTTTGAAAAATCAACCAAAGAAATTGGAAAAAATTTTAAAAAACAAAATATTCCACTGAAAAATTGTTACAATAGGACTGAAAAAGGGGTGAAAAAGCATGTGTAAAAGACCTTCAGAAGGCCTGAAGAATGACTGCTCAACACCACTCAACAAAATATCTAAAATTAAGGGGTAGGTCAACAGTTTTGCGCACATCAATTAGGAAATCCCATAAAAAGATACTTCTATCTAAATATTGAATAATGATCCAGATTTAAGATTTTGTACATTATCAAGGCAAACACTTTAATACTGTCCATCCAAAGGCATACATCAAGCAAGCAGTACTTATAACTAATACTAACAATACTGCTTAATTTCCCAAATCAAAACAAATATAACGGCAAACAGTTTCCTATGTAAATAATTTTTTTCCCCAACATTATGCTTTCTTTTTATATTCACTAAAACTTAGACAGCACTTCAAAGTAAGGCAAAGAATGATAAAAAGCAGCAAAAAAAATCATTAATATTAATGATGTTACACCAGCATGTTTTTGACAGTACATCAAAAGGCTTGATGGCTGATATCCATATACTTACTTCTCAAGAACAGGTGGTATGACAAGCTCTGGTGTGAGGAGAGCCAGGTTCTGAAGAGCGTACGCTGCATCTGTACTGTCAGTTTTACTGCAAATCACCAGGAGAGGGCAGATGAACAGTCGTGCACATGCAATGCAGCGACAACAACGACGACACACGTAGACAGCTAATCACAGATGACCTGTCTTTGTCCAGATTAGGCAGAGGCCGAGGAGGCGAAGCGACTGAACTCATTAGCGAGACACAGCAGTTAGATAACTGGCAGGCAATTATTCAGATGGTGTGTTTGTCAGCTGTTTACATAGTTACAACCCAGGGAACATTGATATGATGACTTGAGACACCAAAGCAAACACAGTATGACTCATGTATATGTAACACCTTTTGTCTTAAGCCAGTTTTAACCTTGCTGTTTGGAGGTTTTAGGGATCCAAAGGCTGACCTGCCGATCTTCATATTAGCTGGAGACTTTCGGTAGCTGTGATACTTGAAACAAAAGCAGTGTTATCGTCGAGATAAAAAGGATAGTTGGAAGATGGAACCAAATCTATTTGTGAACCTGAATTTTGGCTCAAAAAATAAAAGAAAGTCGGGAGAAATTCTCGTCATTAAACTCCGGTGAGCAAGACCGTTAATTGGCTCAAACTATGCAACAGACTGCTCACACCAACACCCACAATGACACCTATGGTAACTATTTCTGCATGAGTGGATATCATTTCTATCGGACTTCCCACACAGGGTCGCTTGTACTTTCTTTGTTTTAAATGTCATGTTACAAACTATTTTTACAGAGTGGCTCTACCTAACATCTAATATAATCACTATTTATTCTTTGTGGGGGGGCTTTTCATTAACGGTCATTTTTTTGTTTCCGCTGTTTTGACTTTTTCTGCTCATAATTTCCTGTTGTACTATTTGTTTGGTGCTTTTTTCGTAGGCTTGGCTTTAAAAGCCGCCCGTGTTGTTTTGCTGTTTTTCATGTTCATAGCAATTAGCACAGCTTGATTATTTTCTTGCTTGCTTAATGATGGGGAGTTAATATTTTGTTAGTGCAGTGATCCAGCTGTTAGGAGAAAAATGTCCAGATCTATGGAGAAGTCACTATATAAGCTTATCAAGTCAAGTCAAAATTAGGAACAGCATGTGAGTGTGTGTATGAGTATGCCTGTATTTACATCTGTACTGTAGCCCTATGCATGCACGTATGTATGTATCACAAGTGAACTGTGTAGAAAAGCAGTTTAAAGTGGACACATTACACTTTTCCTTTTTTTCTGTCATTTCTACATCATTACAGATGTTCCTATTTAACATAGCCAAAGTTTCAAAAACTGAGGTAAGCACATGTAGTCCCTGGAAGCCAGTGGCTTGGACTTCAGACTAGTCTAAACATCCACTTTGATACAGCTTTTTTCAGTTCTTGTCTCTCTTTGAAGCCCCACCTACTTGCTGTTCTTTTGGTTGTAAGGGGCAGCCAATCAGAAGAAGGCATTTAAGCCGAAACAGCTTGTTTCAGACAGTGGATGAACTGAGGGGCGGAACCAAGCTCCAGTATAAGAAAATAGGGGTCATTTTGAATAGTTGATAAAACAACGCTAGTGATAACAATAGCTCCTATTTAAAGCCTTCATTTGGGCTAACAGCCATCAGAGTGCAGTACCTGAACATAGCCAGAAGGGAGGCTCCAGTGAGGCTGCGGGTGAACTCCTGCAGATCCGCATCTGTTAACTGTTGATGCTCAGGGACCAGTGTGATCCAGCAAGGGGAAGCGTGACGTTCCCGGTGCACACGGCGCACAACGCTCGCTGGAAGACGCTGAAGCAGCCTCATCAGTCGAGACTGCAGACACACATTAGACATAAGAATTATCACCCAGAGCCACATTCACAGTCTGCTGTGAGCAGATCTGAGATTTCCTTCTGTTATTAATCTGCTGCGTAAGGAGAGCCAGCCAAGTCCTGAATGACAGGCGATAAATCAAATGAGGAACCGAAGATGGAGTTTCACATAGTGTGTGCATGTTTGCATGCGAGTGAGAGGAAGAGGCTTACCTGCCAGCGACCGTGATTGGATGGATGGTAGAAGGACGCGATGCTGTTGAAGAGGCAGGTCAGCTCTTTCTGTGCAGGGTTTCCTGGTCCACCCTGCAGGGGTATATAAAAGAGCAGAAGAATCAGCTGCAATGAAATGTAAATGTTTTTTTCTTACACATTTCGCCAGAAAAATCTAAAGACTGCATACCAGAAGTGCTGTCACCCACAACACTATGTATCCAATGTCATAGGAGTTGGTAAGATACCGAGGTGACACCATCTGACTGACCCCAACTGGAAGGTTCAGACTTCGTAGGATCCTGGTGAAGATCTATCCAGACATGCACATATACAAACAATAGTTTCACTGCTCTCACACAGCCCATGAGTTCCCAGTAAACCACATTTACGGGAACACTTGTATGCAAACATAATTCTGCTAATGACTCACTGTGGGAATATAAGGGGTCCAGTCCACGTAGCCTATGTTATCATTGGCAAGGCGAGCAAACAGGTTCACCAAGTGCTGTAAGAGAACATTAGGCAAACATTCACTGTGAGGACAAAGGGAAGTGTGTCATCAAAAAAAAATGGGAAAAAAGGAGACGAGATGCTGAAGAAGAGAGGAGGAAATGTGCAAAGCCAGGCCACTGAATGGAAACCAAAGTGGAAAATCTTATCTGCGCTGAGTGGAAACTGACAATCCTTTAACAACATTTCAATCATCGCCATCGGGAAATGTAGAAATCTGTGTCATTTGGAATTACTCTTCACTTTTAGAAAAATGGAAAGCTGCATGATCCATCACACAATAAATTAAAACTTTTAAAAAATCTGCTGCTTGGTGTGACAGATTTGAGAAGAATTTTGAGAGGTGGAATTTTCATTAATTTTGACTTCGCTGTGGCTTAAAGAATTCTACTTTCATGCCAGTGAACAGTTTTTAAAACTAAGTGTCAAATGATTTCAGAGTGTGTGTGTCTTACCCCTTCCCAGCTTGGCTGATTTTGCAATGACATCCAAAGATTCATTAATTCATCAAACCACAACCTGAAAACACACACACATGCAGAAAACAGACCATTACATTCACACCCAATGACACACACACCTGAGGCTTTATCCCCCTCATCAATCTCAAGTTCCCCAAAATATGATCTCATTCCCTCCCCTGTATATTCTGGATGAGAAAGGAAAAAAAAACTGAAGTGGAAAAATAGAGTATTAAAGATGATGTATTGTGGAAACTGTGCTGAAAGTACTTATGAATCCAAGAATAAATCCAGACAAATAGTTTGCAAAGGAGTAAATGAACTAAAGAATGCACTGAAGGCTTTGAAGAGGCTTGGTAGCTGGAACGTGGCCGTGAAGAGTGCAGAGAAAGAGGGGCAAAGATTTTCCAAAAAAAGCAAAATATTAGCAAAACAAAGAGAGCAAGGAAGCACTGCTGATGCAAGAGGAACACTATTCATTAAAGCTCCCAGGAGCAAAGGTGTAAATGCTTACAAAGCCTGAAAAAGTGGCTATGCATTTTGAACATTACAAGAAAAAGCCAAATCCCTTAAATGCTGAGATTTACTAACAAGTTAAACATATTGTACCTCTTTGTGTACCCTTTGTGTCAGCTCTGGCTCTGACAAGCTGTACTTGGAGGATAACACTGTTTCAAACCAGAGCCATTCAAGTTGGCCCACTTACTGGAAGCCCTGGCTGTGTTCCTCCGGGGGCATGATGGTAGGCAGGAACAGCTCCATGTTGCTGATGGCCTTCTGCATGACCACATCAAACACACACAGCAGGGGGCGCCACTCATCCAGCATCTCTTTGGTGGATGATGCAGGGAAATACCTATGAAAAATCATTAAAAGATACGCAGAAACACACATATAGCAAAGATAGACGTGAGCACAAATAGATGCAGACAAGCAAAGATGGCTACAGGTGCAAATACACACAATGATCTACAGTACATAGCTCAACTGAAGATCAAAGCAGCACATTATCTGCTGCCCAAATTATATGATCACAGAGGATGAGACTTACAGTCTGCAGCTTTTGATCAAAGCTTTCAAAATGTGGTCCACGTTGCTGCAAATAAGCACAGAGAGGAGGTGTGAGTGTGTGCGTGTGTCTTAGCTATGCTGTGAGAGCCACATGTCCTCATCAGGAATAAACAAACCTTCAACATTCAGACCACAACTCAGATTTGTACCAGCTGCGACTGCAAGGCTGGTATTGTTTTCTCTTTATGAGTTTGTGTGTGACTGTGTGTGTCTGGCAACAGATTATGTCACACACACAACAGCATCGCAACAGCATCGCAATACACGGTAACAAAACACAACAGGTATGTACATAACATCCGAACAAAGCCTCGCTTTGGTGATGGGTGTGGTCATAGTGCGGTCTGATTACAAGTCAGTACTTTTTCAAAGCCATAAAACAGAACCCAAATCTAAATATAAAATATTTAAAACAGTAAAGCAGGAAGACCTTTGATGGTGATTACACAGATTCGCACAGCTGTAAGTTTCCAGTGCAGCCACTGGGTGAATTATAAGGAGTGATACTGCTTTTTAATGGAATGCAATATCCACTCCTGAGACACTTAATTCTTTGTGGTAAAGATTTAACAAGGTGCTGGAAACATTGTTCAGAGATTTTGGTCCATATTAACATGATAGAATCACACAGCCGCTGCGGATTTGTCGACTGCACATCCGTGATGTGAATCTCTTGCTCCACATCCCAAAGGTGCTCTATTGGATTGAGTTCAGGGACTGTGGAGGCCATTTGAGTACAATGATCTCACTGTCACGTTCAAGAAGCCAGTTTAAGAGGATTTGAGCTTTGTGATATGGCATGTTGTCCTGCTGGAAGCAGCCAAGATGGGCTGTCTCTTTGTGACACTATGGTCGCAAAGGGAAGAACATGGTCAGCAACAATACTCAAACAGGCTGTGGTGTCTCATCGATCCCCAGTCGGTACTAAGGGGCCCAAGAAAACATCCTCCACAGCATTATATCACCATTCTGCTCTCTATATGACACAGGGCAGAATGGATCCATGCATTCATGTTTTTTATGCCACCCGAATGTTGCATCAGAAACTGCGACTCGTCAGATTAGGCAACATTTTCCCAATCTGCTCTTGTCCAATTTTGGTGAGCCTGTGCAAATGTAGCCTCAGTTTCCTGTTCTGAGCTGAGAGGAGTGACATTGGGTGCGGTCTTCTGTTGCTATAGCTCATTCGGTTTGATGTAGTGTGCCTTCTGAGATTCTCTTGTGCATGCAGTACTTTCTTTGCGATGAGTGAATTTGAGTTGCTTTTGGAGTCATTCTCCTCTGCCCTCTGGTTCCAATAATGCATTTTCAACCAGAGAATTGCCATTCACTGTCTTTTTTTCTCTTTTTCAGACCTTTCTCTGGAAACCTCAGAGATGATTTTGTGGGAAAATCCCAGTAGATCAGCAGTTTCTGAAATACTTAGACCAGGTCATCTGGCAACACCAACCATGCCAGTTTCTAAGTCACTTTTATCACCTTTCTTCCCCATACTGATGCCTGGTATGAACCTCAACAGACTGTATTGGTCATATCTACATGCCTAAATAGATCGAGCTGCTGCCATTGGATTACCTGATTAGATAATTGGTGTTAAAGAGCAGTTGAAGATGTGTATCTCTCAAAGTGGCTGGTTAGTAACCGGTGCAAATGGAGTGAAAAGCCTTGGCTACAGTCTATGTTCTTTAGGAAAAGTTTCTTCATGTCAACCACACAAGGATGTTACTGGAAGACATCATTTCCGGATTGTCACTGTATGGATGTTTATCTTGAGAATAGTTCTCTGGAGTGTTAATGTCAAAACTGGAGGGTCGAAGTCTGTTGACTTTTGTAGGCTTACTACCAAAAAAAATAAATAATTACACATTGCCTACAACACTACACTGGTTAAATCAAGTGGTTTAACTTACAGTAGTCTTTGTTTGTAACTACAACAAACTGTTCAGTGTGTACTTGCAGTTCTTTAGAAAGGGAAAAAATATTTTTTTAATAGGTGGTTATGAAAAGGTTTTAGGAGCCTGGCCAATGTGGGATAATCTTGGGCTGGAAGAAGCCAGTTGCCTAAAATGAGTTTGATACCTTCGGTTCAGAGAGCCCAGCAAGCTGTTTCTCATTGTTTCTACTCCGTCACCCTTTTTCCCAGTCATGGATTAGGCCTAGTCCTAGACTAAAGGAGAAATACAATGAAGATCTCATTTGAAAAAAAAAAAGGATTTATTCTAGGATTAGGCATAATCCATGTCTCAGAAACTGAGCCTTTGAGTTTGCCGGTTTGCTGGTTTTGTGTTTACTGTTGTAAGTATCTTCATATTTAACACACAGACATGAAAGTAGCATCAATCTCCTCATGTCATTTTTGGCAGGAAAGAAAGCAGGTTTCCTACTGTGTACACATTCTTCTTTAATTCAAAACACATATCTTGATACTGCACTTTACCATATGTCACAACAGCTACAATTAAATATAAAGCTTCATACTTAGGGAACCAGATGAGCCCAAGGTGCTCGGTTTTGGAGTAGAAAACCCTCTCGTAGAGATCATAGAGCGGCCGCCACGGCAGCTGGAGGTCATCCCGTGATAGAAGTTCTTTCTTCCTGTTTGAAAAAGAAGTCCGTTATCAGCTGTCAGGCCTATTTATAATGCTTTTACAAGGGTCCTGGTAGGTTATTAGATATTTAAGCCTCTAATAATAATAATGTCATATTGAAGTGAAAGACCACAGGGCGTCTGAAAGAGTCTGTAATCGTGGAGAAAATGAGTCACTGCCTCACAGGCTGCACTCAGCATGATGACTGCCATCTTATTGGCATGTATGCAAACACAACGCTGTGATTCTTTGTATTCAATAATGCATAAGTGGACTGACAGCAGCAGGCATTGGTAATTTGCAGGCGTAGATTCACTTGGTATAAAATACTCATGATCCAACGTTCATAACACTCTCCACTGAGAAAAAAATTAGACATGTTTAAGATCTAGCAGTGGGCATAATTGGCTTTCTGCAAGCTAACCATGCATTGACTTTACTTTTTGTTGTTTTCTTTTAAACACCTTGTTAAGCTTTTAGATTGCACAGTAATGGTGTGCCCCTTATGAGAACTCTAAGCTTAAAAAGGAGCAGTTTTTTTTTTAATCCTCCTGAGAACTTCCACTTTGCTCTCTTTGTGCTTTTGTATTACTTTGCTCTTTGTAAAATCCCAGTTTTTAAGGGATTGAACCTCAGAAATAGGTTGAGAGTCTGTGCAGTTGAGAATATGCATGATTTCCACAACCTCTAAATCCTCCCCACTTATTCATCTAACAACTATGGAACAAACTCTCAGTTGGGAGATGTGAAAAATGAAGGAAAGAAGAGACAATCGGGAAAATGACGGCGAAATCCAAAAGATGAGAGAAAAAAAAGCAGCCTTTTGAGACCTGATGCTCATCTCTCAGCTTTGAAACCTGCCACTTCATATACGCTTAGCCCAGATCTTTCTCTTTTCATCTAATGGAAAACACTCAGACAAATGACGTCTACATTAAGAGGTTGTTTTGTGATGGATGTGAAAATCCTGAAAACAACTGGTGACAAATGGGAAGTGATTAATGTGACCGTCTTGGAGAAAACCCTACTGTCGCTGGAGAAGTGACAAATTTGATCTGAGAGACAAAAGCATCGCTTAAAGAGTAATAAATGTTAAGCCAGCATACTTTATTGCCCCCTGTACTTACTTTCAGAGTGTCTTAGAGTGCATTTGTGCGTGGAAGGAAATTTAAACTTCTGCTCTATGGTCGTAAGATATTAACACAATATACCAACCAAGTATCAATATTTTACGCTACTTTAAACTTCCACTTGACATTTCAGAGGATGATCTGGCATTTACTGGCATCTGGGAAACACATAAGAGCATAGGAGATATTTTGCAGAGATCCTTTGTTTTGTTTCATACCATTTGTTGACAAAGGCTCTGCAAATGATTTGACTCATCAAATGACTGTGTTACAAATGGCATACAAGTAAGTGCAAAATTTTACTTTAACATGTCACACCACTTATGGCGCATTGATGTTTACCAATCGTATGGCTTCCTGTTCTCATTTTACTAAAAGGAAGGAAAAGAGAGGATCATGCAGAGGAGTTAAGCTTTCTCCTCAGCGTGATGGTGGCATTCATCGCCATAAAAATGCTGTGCAATACTTATATATGTATTTCTGGTATGTTTTATCACTTATTTTACTGTGCAGTATTGCGTCTATTCTTCTTTCCATCTAGGCCCTGAAATTCGTCTTCCCATGCATTGCATCATGGATAATTCAGGCTTTAGGTTTTTCCAAGAAAGTGTTAAATATAAATGAATTAAATAATAAATAACTAATTTTTAAGTTTTGAAAAATGATCTTTTTTCTCAGATGCAATTTGTAATTGCCATCACACATGAGTTGCCTCCTAATACGTGTTCATGAAGGCAAAAGGTCTGTCGACAGTTAAATTCATCATAACTCGTTTCATTTCGAACCAATATCCAGCTCGTTCTGTTTGCTATTTTTCTGAGAGGATTTTATGATTTACCATGACCCCCTCACCCCAACATCCCCGTTTAAATTCGTGTACATTTGCATTCACACCCACTTGAGAAGCTGAATGAGCAGCCTGGCATAGCTCTGCATCATGTGTGGCTCCAGGTTTGGGAGCGTGACCAACTCATAGAGCAGCTTGATGAAGAGGATGTGGTCATCTTTGCTGAACCTGCGGCCGTACAGCTTCAGAAACCTAAGGGCGAGAGAGGACACTGAGCGAACAGATGATCACTTCCTACTTCCTACACTTAACCTATATTCTGAAACAGTGAATAGGCTTACACAGCTACAGTGTACGACTGTCTCAACACTAAACCTAATCTATTGAACTTGAGTTTATGCCAAGTCACACAGTGAATTAAGGTTCGGCCTTTAATTAAAGTTATAAGGCAGAACACTATGCCCTGATGTCCTCTTAAGGCAGACAGGTCAATAACACCAAGTAGCTGCTTCTTTAAATGCTTTTGTGCACTAATATTCCTGGAACTCCAGACTTAAGAATACAGCAAAGGACACTTTTAAAGTTTTTCCACCTCTAACCACAGACAGATTGCAGTCTATTTCAAATGTAACAATCAAATGTAACAATCTGATGAACTTTCCTTAACTCTGTCACAATTTTATTTTAAGATGCAGGCCATTGTTAAGCCCACTGTTATGAATCTTTGGCTATGGGTTAAGTTACCTTTGGGTAGTCTAAATCATACGCCAACCGTTCTTCAATACTTACGAGAAAAGTTTCCTGGACCAGAAAGCGACCCCGGGCCACAGCTCTCTGAGGAGGACAGCTCTGCACAGGTTCGCTTTGATCTCCGCCAACAGTTCCGTGGCCTCCCGGTCCAACCGGTCAGAGTAAGGCAGCAAGCCATTATACACAATCTCCTTCTGAGGAATAAACTCAGCCATATCCCTGCCCACAGTCATTTCCGCTGTCATACAAGTCACTTTTCTGTTGAAACTGTGTGTAAAATGGTAAAGAAAACCTTTTTGTTGTGCCTCCTGGGAAGTGCGCAGCCAAAGTTAGTGGGCATAATCCGCTGTGTCCAGAAGCCAGGCGGAAGGCAGGCGATCACAGAGGAAAGTATGTCACGCTAATTGAGCCGGGCTAAGCCCTGAGCGCAGAGGGGGCCGGTTTCGCTCAGGCCTGCAGTGCCGGGCGCTTTGTCAACTCTCACTTCACACCTCATGGTTGCCCGGTCGCCTTGGGCACATGGGTGGGGGAGCAGTAGGGTACGTGCGCTGAGCGTGACGCACGGCAGGGGTTTGAGAGAAATGAGGCGCTACCGGTTGCTAGAAAGGGCGCATTACTCTGAGGTCAAGCTTTGATTTCAGCACCACCGAGTCTAATAACAGAGGCCTTTGATATATGAAGACCTTCATGCACACTGTGTAAATGACTCGGATTCATTCAGAAAATCGTCACTCTGGACTACAGATGCCAGAAGCGCGCGCGTTGCAGGCTAATCTGCAGAATATCTGATAAATGGATTAATGCTGTCCTGTTTTTACTGACCTGTAGAACTACTGACCTCGCAGTGATCGTTACTGAGATAAACAAAGGGTTGCACTCTGTCAGATGAATCAGCACCTATCTATCTGCATGCTACACACTTATTTAACTAAGCAGAAATGAGCTCATATATAAATAAAGGACAGTCTTTAACAAGTCTCATCATATCATTCATGCCTACCTTTTCTGTCTTATGACACCTTTATCCCCAACCTTTTCCATTCTTGCTTCACTGTGCACCCGTCCATGTAAATCCTTTTCCTTTAAGCCCATGTAATTCTCTGACCACTATGCTTAGAGTGGGGCAGCAATTGCAGGTCATTGTCTGGCTTGCCTGGCACTGAAGTTTCTGTTCGCAGCAAGGACTTAGACTATAATGCAGAAGCCCTTTCAGTTCTCTGGTCTAGTTACTGTTGGAGAAATGGAGCAATTGCTGCAACACCACCTCGCTTTTGTTAAGCTGCCTGATTGCATAAAGTGCCCTGTTTCTCATCCTGCCTCAATCTTATTAAAGGTCTTCTTGTTGCTTTCAGTACTACCTTCTGGCGATAGCCCCTGTAGCCTTCAATCAGTTTTTTTGAGACCATAGTGGATGCCCTCTTTAAAACTATTTTCTCCCCATAAACACAGTGTAAGACTATCAGAGTCAGGACTTTGAGACAGATCCCAGAACAGAGTGTGCCTTCTGCACAGCATATCACTCCAAGAGTGTCACGCTAGACTCTGCCAAGTAATCTCACCCAACTCTACCTTTTTCTATCCCCTCAGATCTTATTACTTTTGGGCTTTTTCTGACTCCCAGAGCAGTGACAGCACCTGCTTTCACTGTCTCCGTCACTGAACCACTTCCAGGAAGAAACATGGTCTCTGTTCTTATTTGTTCTCCGCTGTGATGTTTCTAGGTATCTGGAAATAGAAAATTTGTTGGGATTTTGTGTGAGTGTGTTTGTATGGGCACAGGCGCATGCATGTGTGCACACACATCTGTGAGATTCATTAGTCCACAAGTGGAGTGTACAGATGGAAAATGTGATTCGGGATGATGATGCCTTTTTGACTCAGCAGGGAGAAGACCAAACAGAGAGAGATCCCAGCCGAAGTAGATGTTTTTGTATTCCATCAGTTTGCTCATAGCTCACAATCTTCAGCACACAGCACTTCCAAAAGCACACACATGCAAACACACACGCATCAAGCCTCTAATTTTTGCAAAGGATTTATGGTAATGCCAGTTTTCTCGCTGCTAAAATATTGGAAAATTTGTGCAGCCAGTGACAGTGTGTGTTTGTGCCTGTGTGCCTGTTTCGGTGTGTGAGTGTGCGCATTCGTGCATGCAAGTCTCATTTTGGAGAGTGAAGAGTGTAAATGATGTGTCTGGGAAACCTGCATCGAGACGTCAACACACACACAGACGCAGTTCCTTCCATCCAGCTGGGTTCCTCGCTGGGAGATATGCAGCCTAGTTCATCGCCAGACACACGGGTAAAATATGGCCCCTGTTCCTGCCACACATACACACACATACACAGACACACACACTCTAAAACAAATAACACTGCTAGAGATTTCTCCCGAACTAACAAAGCTGTCTGCATGTTTCTTACTCAGATTACCCTCGTACCAAACCCATCCCTTTTTTCTTTTCTTTGGATGATTCAGTGACAAATTACTGAGTGGACTGTGCTGGTGATCTTCACTCTGGATACCAAGGTGAGAAGATAATAAAGGAGGGAAGCAATCAAGGAAGAGGAAAAGGAGACATTCCACTACAGCCCCTGCGGAGCTGCAGCAGGGACGAGCCTACTGGCTGTGATTTCTAGTCAGGAAAGGCAGAGGAGCAAGGAGAACGCAGGTATGCATGGTTATTTCTCTCTTTTTGTCCTTCTTTTTCTTTTATTTCCTATGCCTCAGATCTGCTTGGATTCTATATAGGAGGTTACTTTCTATATTTCAAGGTAACTGCATGTGTTATTTATGTGTAAGCAGGAATGGGTTATCTGAGGGGTCTCCTTCAGCTTTTGATATTCCTCTATGCAGCAGGAGTGTGTGCAGGTACCACACATATGCATCAGTACAGTTGCTCCGCCTGTTTCTTTATCATTAAAGCGGAATCATATCTAAATCTTGAAAAGCCCACATATACTCGTGCCTCCTCCACAGGTGTGGATGGCGCAAAAGTCAGCAACTTGTCATCGCAAATCTGTCTTCATCCGTGTGAGGACCTGTTTGGCTTGCTCACTGAGATCCATGGCCTGCGTGTTGTGACCAACAACCTGCTCGAAGACTTGGATAGAGTAGTAAGATGCATAAAAGCATGCACATTTATCATGGTATTTGTTAAAATTGTGTTTCTTATTGCCTGATAGTACACTATTTTATAGCAGCATGAGCAAGAATTTAAATATTTTTTCCGTGTTTTTTCATTTTAACCGTGTCATTTTTAAGGTAAAAGTAACTTTAAACATGAACATTTTTTAATCTTTTTTTTTTAGATTATTTAAACCAGTAATAGCCCGTTTTCAATAACGCTATGTGTTTACCAAGGTTGTAATACACTTTTTATTCTGTGTCATCACAGAAAAGTTGACTGAATTTAAATTCTGAGAGTAATTCTTTTTCCAGTGCAAATGGCACAAATAAAGGATTTTCTGTCAGGAAGCACTGTGGTCTGTGGCAAACGCCTTTGGGGAAAAAAACAAAAAAAACAAAAAAACCAAGAGGAAATCTCACCACAGATGTGGCCCACAGTAGTTTGGCTGGTCTCTTTCAATATAAATACATAATAACACTTTCTTATTTGAAAAATGTATTTAGTTAATTTTAGTATTTTCAGTCCAAAGAAAATGAAGAGATACGGATATCTTTGGATGAGCTCAGTAACAGACATGGCAGTGGTACCAGCAGTGGCAAAGGGAAAGGCAATGGGAGAGGCAATGGGAGAGGCAACGGGAACGGCAACAGCAGCCACGGCCGTGACCGCAGCAATGGCAGTGGCAACAGCAACGGCAGTGGCAATGGTAATGGCAACGGCAGTGGCATCAGCAGCAGCGTCAGAAGCAGCCGCAGAGGTGGTGATGGTGACAGCAGTGACAATGATCTTGACAGAGACAGTGAGGCGTGGTGCGTGCAGGATGGACGAGTGTACGAGCAGGGGGAAGACTGGGAGGTTGACAGCTGCACCTCCTGTACTTGCCAGGTTTGTGCTGAACACATCTATTAACTACAATAACACACTGGCAGAATTTCCTGGGGAAATACCATGCAAGCATTTAACTGAATTAAGGATTTATAAGAGATATAGAGCAGATATTAATATCATCATCTACAACAGCAAAGTAAAATGGAAAATTATAAGTGACAATCTTTAGCATTAAATTAATCTTCAAGGAAGCTTACCAAGGTTTTTATACACAAGGACTTTGATTGACGACTTGACTGCTGCAACTTATTATTGCTTCCCTTCACTCTAATACTTAATAAAAAGCAAATATGCAACATTTTAAAAATGTCCAACTGTTCCTTTAAACGATGTTTACCAATTGGGGAAGTTTCACTTGTGTGCAATGTGGTTTCATTTATTTCCAGAAGTTCTATATTTTATGCATGCTTCATCCTCATCCCTACGTCTGTTTCTTTTTATAAGAACCATTATTTTTGTTGAGGATGGGATGAAGGATTAGCCTGACTTGTTATGACTCACGAAAACATACCATTCCTTGCAAGAACTGGCATTCAGCAAAACATCTGGATTCAATAATGTGATATTGTTAGAAAATCTAAATGTATCAACACTGGACTGTCTTGCCAGGAAGGAAAGGTGGTTTGTCAACAGGTGTCATGTGCTCCTGTGTTCTGCATCAATCCGTCTTTTGTCGATGGAAGTTGCTGTCCTGTCTGTCTTAGTGAGTATCATTTTTCTGCAGCTGGGATTTTGTCTTTACATGGATGCCAAGATTAATAAATATAATAAAAACACAACAACAACAACAACACATGTCTGTTGTCTGTATGTAATAAAGATAATGAAGACGGCTGGTCCCCATGGTCTGAGTGGACCTACTGCTCCGCCACCTGTGGACGTGGAGGGCAGCAAAGGGGTCGATCCTGCAATGGCATCATGCCGTCCTGCTCTGGCCCGTCAGTCCAAACCCGCAGCTGCATGATGATGAAGTGTGACCGCAAGGGTAAGGCATCACTCTGCACATCGGATCTGTCACCTGTTTCAGCTTAATGCTCTTTTAGTGACTGACTGAGCCAAGTCCTATTCAAGACAGTGAACTGGCAATTCCCAGACAGCGAAAATATGAAACCTCAGAAAAATGGAAATCGTAGAGATTCTAATCGTAATTGGAAACATGTTTTGTTCTCTGTACGCTGCTGAGCTGTAGCGGTGGTCTGACTTTCTTTTGTCTTTATTTGTCTAGTGCGTGCTGACGGGAACTGGGGCCTTTGGTCTCCTTGGTCTGCATGTACAACCACATGTGGAGAAGGAAACATTACACGGGTCCGTCTGTGCAACAATCCTCCACCAAAGAAGGGGGGCAAGGGGTGCACAGGTAGCGCCATGGAGACACAACCTTGCAACAACACGCTCTGCCCGAGTAAGTAGGAGCGCGCAGCTGCACATTTGAAACCGCTCATACGCATTAAAAGTGGCTCAAAGGTAAATGATGCATTTCGGTGTAGTTGCTGGAGGCTGGACGGCCTGGACTGAATGGTCAGTCTGTTCAGAGACATGTAACGGGGGCCTCACGAGTCGCCAGCGAGAGTGTGTGAACCCCGCCCCTCAGAACGGCGGGAAGCCTTGTGCTGGAGATGCTGTGGACTATGAAGGATGTAACAAACAATCATGTCCTTTAGGTAAACCTTAACCTTGTGCAGCTGTACCAACTAATGTTATTCTACATGCAGGCTAAGCCTCACATACATAGAGAACCTTAATCCCATTTTATTGGAGAGAACATGTTTTCAAACAATTGAGGATTAAGAAATAATATCCTTCACTGTTTGCTCTGCTTTATTCAATTACCAAGGCTTAGGATAGAAAAGAGAAACGATTCGAATATGAATTCCTTCAGAATCATTATGGTGCAATTGACCCACACTTGAACAATTTGCTTTGGGACTAAGTGTAAAAGACTTTTATGTGTAAATTTTTGTGCATTTCAGATATGTGCTTGCTTTCAAATCCTTGTTTTCCTGGGGTTAAATGCACAACGCATCGCGATGGATCGTGGGAATGTGGACGCTGCCCGTTGGGTTTCAGTGGTAACGGCACTCATTGTGAAGATGAGAATGAGGTAATGAGATTAGACACAGGATCACACTACACAATATGAGCGCAACAATGGCCTAACTTCGCAGATGCATGACGTAGGAAAGGTCCTCCTCAAAATTCCTTAGCATAATGCTGCATTTCATTGATTTTCAGGGAGTTATCTTTATTTCCTTGTAGTGAATTGTGGCCCAACTTGACAAGGTCAGCAGGGCCGTTTCCAGTGATGGTAATGCCTGCCTGTCAGTTGGTTGCATATGTTAAAGTGTCTCTATAACTATGGAAGGAATTATTGGGAACTTTTTAGACCTTATGGCTCCCAAATGATGCATCCAAATAACATTGGTGACCCAGATTTTTCCTCTAATACCACATTCATGGTTTTGATTTAAGTGACAAGGCAGCTAGATGAACTACCATGAATTTTGGTACAGATATTCATATTCCTCCAGAGATTAAGAACTTTCATCAGTCATTAACTTTTTGCCTGGTGGAATCGTTTTGTCAAAACTTAAATTTTTCCGATACTTATCTGAAGCGCTAATGACAATTCCATAAGTCAGTGGACTCGTTTTTAACTTCTCTGACTTAGTAACCATTGAAATATTCTGTAGTCTGATCCTGACAAAGAGATTTTCTTTCAACACGCGTAACACCTTTGTACGGTTCATGTTTGATATGCTGAACATGGATAATCTCTCAACCTCCATCTCTTCAGTGTGAAGTGGAAGGAGTGTGTGTTACACAGTGCATAAACACAGACCCTGGATTCTACTGCCTGCCCTGTCCGCCGCGCTATAAAGGCACTCAACCGTATGCCCTCGGTCTGGATGAAGCCCTGAAAACCAGGCAGGCAGGTGTTTTTCTCTTTGCTTTGACCTGCAGTCATTAACCGTAGAGACTTTTGGATTCTCAAAGAGCTGCTCTGTTTGTAGGTGTGTGAACCGTACAACCCTTGCAAAGACAACACACACACTTGCCACAAGTATGCTGAGTGTATATACCTTGGCCTGGCGTCTGAAGTCTTGTACAAGTGTGTGTGTGCGGTGGGGTTTGCTGGCGATGGCTCCCTGTGTGGTGAGGACTCTGATCTGGATGGCTGGCCCAATAATAGATTACCCTGCAAGCAGAATGCCACCTATCACTGTGAAAAGGTAAGATATCTACTTCAGCGTGAGCTAAAATCATTCAGACTTGTTGAGAGATACCTGAGCTGCATTCTGGATACCATTAATCTTCGTTGTGACTGGCTGCAGGATAATTGCCCCACGCTGCCAAACTCTGGACAGGAAGACCTGGATGCGGACGGACAGGGCGATGCCTGTGACCCTGATGATGACAATGATGGCATCACAGATGAAAGGGTGAGACAAAACCACTTTAAAGTCGCCATGATTGAAAACAGGTGTGTCTTGCCATATGCAAACATCCGTGTGGATGTGTGTTTTTTTGACACAGGACAATTGCCCGCTGATGTACAACCCTCGGCAGTTTGATTCTGACAGGGATGGGGTTGGGGACAGCTGCGACAACTGTCCATTTGAAAGCAACCCTATGCAGACGGACACTGATAACAATGGAGAGGGAGACGCCTGCAGCATCGACATAGATGGAGACGGTAAGAACAACTCATTGTACCAGGCCTTGAATGTGCAGCTAGTCTGCTTGGAATCAGGATCAATTGGTGGTAATAAAGGGACAATGTAATAACTCAAAAAAAGTAGATATGAACTTGAAAATATAGATGAAATTGAATTTACCGAAACATAGCCTTGATGTATATTATTTGTCTGGCTATGTTCACAAAAAAAAAAAAAAAAAAAAATCAGTCTAAAGGCTGTGTATGTGTGTGTGTTTCTGTCTATTCTTTCAGAGGTTCTGAATGACCGGGACAACTGTCCTCTAGTCTACAACACCGACCAGAGGGACACAGACCTGGATGGTGTCGGAGACCAGTGTGACAACTGTCCACTTCTACATAACCCAGACCAGGTTCTTGAAAAAATCAAAAGTTTTCAAACATTTGTTTCTTCTGACTTACCCCCAAAACCCTGTCAGATGAATCTACTACTCTGTTTATGAACATACCTTTTATATTTAAATAAGTGCATTTGAGCAAATTAACTAAGTTAGATTTGGACTGCCTCCAGTTTATTTTAAACTCTTTGTGATTATATGTTGCTTACAATTCATTAGTTACAGTAAGAAAACTCCGTCACCCATTAATCAACTACTTTTAGTTACTATTATATTTAAAAACTCTTCATTAAATGCTGCTACCACAGGTTAGCTAATGTTTAGAAAGCTATTTTGTTTATTGATGCTTTGAGCTAGCAGTTCCAACTGTGAGACATGTTTTAGTTAATTATTTCCAACTTTTGATTTTAGAGAAATATTTACTTATTATGTTTAATTAATAATTTTAACTGATAATTCATACAATTAGCTAACACTTGTAACTGGTCGCCATATTTTTAGCTTATCATTTCCAGCTTTTGGTTGGATGGATGATGATGATTTGGGCTTGTTTTGCCCAAATCATAGGGTCTGGTCACCTTATTGAGTCAACCATGAACAAATATGTATCACATAACAAAGTATTCTACAATCAAATGTAAGCCTATCTCTCCAACAGTTAAAGCCTGGCTGGAACTGGGCTATGCAACAGTATAATGATCCCAAGCACAGCAGTAAATCTACAACAGAAAAAGAAAAGTATCTAGGTAGTGCTATAGTCCCAAAACTCAACTTGATTGAAATGCTGAGGTAGGACCTTAAGAGAAACCGTAAGATTTAATTTCATTTAATTGTGACCTCTTTTTTATTTATTTATATATTTTATCTAATTTCTCATCTAACCTGAGTCCCCAGGCTAATACAGAAGTATTCCCTGCACTAAATAAATAATGCTGTTTGTAGTGACCTAAAACATATTATACACTACATCCACATGTGTTGGCAGCTTGACTCTGACAGTGACCTGGTGGGAGACATGTGCGACGACAATGAGGACATCGACGAGGACGGCCACCAAAACACTCTAGACAACTGCCCCTATATTGCCAACAGCAATCAGGCTGACCACGACAAAGATGGAAAGGGAGATGCTTGTGACCATGACGACGACAATGACGGTATCCCTGATGACCGTGACAACTGCAGACTGGTACCCAACAGGGACCAGCTAGACTCTGATGGTCAGTGTTGTTACAGCTGAGCTCTCCTATCCTAGTCTACCCAAGGAGGTAAAATAGAAAGTAAACAGGGATGTTTCAAATCAATAAAAAAAAAGTGAGCAATTTGATTTTATTTAAAAATAAAATAAGACCTGATTCCCATTCTAGCCAGTCATAGGTGTGTCAGGCTTTACATGGCTAATATCAAAATGCAGACATGAACAAATAGTTTGCTGTCACACAGGGAAAATAACTTGCACAATTTATGATTAATGGATTTTGCAGCCATGAAATAAAATCTTGTGACTATCAGTCCAGTTTCCATTGCTTCAGGTCATATTGATCTTGGACATCAACATAAACACTTAATGGCTCTCTGTAGTGTAATTAATAATACTTAAAAGGTTGATCTATCCACCATCATACATGGTTTTCTCAGTACATTTTCATGTTATCTTGTCCAGTTCTTTTCCCCCATCTCGGCAAAAAATAATGAGGAAAAGTCAAGTTACACTTGTTCTCTTTTTTCTTTATTCTTTCAGGTGATGGCAGTGGAGACGCATGCTTTGATGACTTTGACAATGACAGTATTCCAGATGCGTTGGATCCCTGTCCCCTGAACCAGGATATTGGGTCTACAGATTTCCGGAAGTTTCAGGTTGTTTTGTTGGACCCTAAAGGCACCACGCAGTCTGACCCCCTCTGGGTCATCCGCAGCCAGGGTACAGAGCTGCTGCAGATTGCCAACTCTGACCCCGGGATCGCTTTAGGTGAGATTAACCATAAAAAAGGCTAAACATATAAGACATATAATGAAAGTGATTAGTCAACATGAATAATATTCCTGTGTCTGAACAGGATACGACAAGTTCAGCGCCGTGGACTTCAGTGTCACATTTTATGTAAATACCAACCGAGATGACGACTACGCAGGGATTGTGTTTGCCTATCAGTCCAGTCAACGCTTCTACGTTGTCATGTGGAAACAGGTGCGAGCTGAACGCTGACTCTTAATTCTCACAAGCAATAAACTTAAAATACATAATAGAGAACATGTAACCATTTCTCTCCACCACATTGATTTTTTTTCTGTAAGCGCAGGTGTCTCAGGCCTACTGGGAGAAAAAGCCAACCAAAGCTTTCGGCACTGCTGGAGTCTCAATCAAACTGGTCAACTCAAACACAGGACCAGGGGAGTATCTGCGCAATGCTCTGTGGCACACAGGAAACACTAGACACCAGGTTAGAATGAGTAAACTCATAAATCTGCCACCTTTTTATTGTGCTTTCAGTATCATAAAAAATACAAAGAAAAGATAACACTTTCTGAATATTCAATTGTTTGGCGCAGTAAACATTAGATACTCTGGTAAATATGATTGTCCTCCGTGGCGCCTGAATATGTTTCAGGTCAGAACTTTGTGGCATGACCCCAATAAAATTGGCTGGAAGGACTACACACCCTACCGCATGCACCTTATCCACCGACCCAAGACTGGGTTTATCAGGTACAAACCATAATGTAAAGTGTCACCACAACTGTGGTTTGATTTATTATGGATTATTGATTCTTGAAAGAGGCACTGACCCCAGAATATGCAGCATATATTCATTTCTGACAGAAGATATTGCTCTGTGAAGTAGTTATACTTCTGGGATTTTCCATGAAAGATCAGTGAATCCTCCCACTTGACCCAGTCAGAATCAACTTACAATATGATTAAAATACAGCTAGAAGATTAGCCTCGTATCAAAATGTAGGAAAAAAAGACTTTTCATATGCTATCCCGTAACTTGTTTTGACCAGCAACCTATCCCACATGATGATTTAAGTATTAAAAGTTTATCCCAAATGCACTTTTTGAAGTTTTCTCTGACACATGTTTCTCGTACTCTACATCATCAACATTTAATTGGGCCAATGTTGCTTCGAAACTATGATATATCCCATGAGATTGATGCTCAAAGTTGGTTACAGAGAAAATCATGCTGACAAAAAATGAGATTTGGGCTTTAGCTTGTGACACATGGAGTGGGTGTAAAATGAATTTTGCTGTTGTTTTTAACAGAGCTTAGATGTCAGGCCTGAAAATTTCTTGTGGCTAGCCCCTGTAGTCATGAAGTCATGAGGGTTTAGATATGCTAAAGCAAAATAATATGATTAAAAAGTGCATCCTTATCTCCGACAGTCATGTGAAAAAGAGCGTTTTTCACAGGACTCTTTGCATTCCTTCTTTAGCAACAATAACTTGATGTTATCATTTTCTGTTTGACGTGATCAGTCTCTCACGTCCTTGTGGAGGATTATGGCCCGTTCTTCTTTACAGTGGTGAATCGGCTCATTGAGGTCTCCAAGCATTTGTTTATGCACAGCGCTCTTAAGGTCTCGCCACAGCATATCAATCAGGTTGACGTCTGGACTTTTATTGGGCCATTGCATCACCTTGATTCTTTTCTTTTTCAGCCATTCTCCTGTAGATTTGCTAGCCAAGCTGTAGGTGTCAGATAGATGGTGTCAAGTTTGATTCTAGAATACTTTGGTATACAGGGAAGCTCATGGCTGACTCAGTGACTGTGCGGTGCCCAGGTCTTGTGGCCGCAAAACATATACAAATCATCACACCTCCACTACTGTGCTTGACAGCTAGTTTGAGGTAAAGTCTTTTGCTTTACTTAATTCCTATGGAAGCATTAAGGATGTACTTTGTTTTTCACAGGACTCTATGCAAAGTTTTCAAGTTTTATCATGACTGCATGACCTTTGATGGCCTGTAATGGTTTTTTTTCATAGTATTAAGGCAAAATTTTACATGCCTTCATTAGATACACTTACACAGTAACCTAAGTTTAAAAAAAAACCCAGATATACTGAGAGGAAACATTTGTCTCTTTGATGGTTTTTGTATTTGGAACCTGGATTTAGTTTATATTTTGGGGGTTGAGCTGCCAGAAACAGCTGTCACAGCTGGATTATGATCTTGGAATCCACCAAACTTTTAGAATTAGAAAAACAAAGATTGGCAGGTTTCCTCAGGAGAACTCAAGCTCTTTTCTAGTGGAAACAACTGAGCATTTACAGCTGAACATTCAGGTATTATTGGCTTGGCTTTTATAGGACCATACCAGTATTTTTTTTTAACCCAATTACTACCTACGGCATACATTATTACCTATTATTTCCAAAGAAACTTCTTGATTTGAGTCAAAATCCAACTTGCAGGCAGGAATTTTAGACATTTGTGATAGCGGTGAACATGCCTGTGTATATTTGCATGTATGGCAAACTATTAAAATTAATGTTATTAGGTAAAAAATAGAAAAAATCTGGGGCATGTTCTTTGAAATAAAATTTTTGTGGCCAAGTTCAGTTCATGTAGGTTTTAGTGCAACAACAATCTGCAGAATGACTTCTTCAATCTGTGAAAATCACATTTGTGTCAGCCTGAAATGGTCTTACACTCGAGGATATCATCAATCTCTAAGAGTTATTTTATGATAACAGTGTAATTCACTTTCCAAGTCCAACCCACTTCTCCTCAACCTGCCACATCTACTTCTGTTTAGTTGTATTTCTCACTAATAGCCTGGATAAAAAACAACAACAACAACAAAATAAAAACAACCCCAGGCTACGAGTTCTCTGTGCTCTGTGCTGTTTATGTGCAGATGGGGAAAACAACATCAGTGCCATAGTGAGATTTCCAATCTGGAAAAAACAGAAGTCAGAGAAAAAAGCTGTTATGTGACAGATTTGAAAAAATACTCTTTTTTTGAGACATGCTGTGGCAGTGCTGCATTCCTGCTACTGAATGACTGTACTGGAGAATGAATGTACAACTGTACACTAAGTGAATGTGAGGCTGAAAAGAAGCTCCTGCTCTTTGACTGTGAAGGACGGACATGTATTGATATGTTGTATACTTGCTCCAAAGCTCCATTGTAACTGCTATGAATATATCTCCAACTGACATCACGTCCTCTGTGATGTCCGTGAAAAAAAAAAAAGTAAAGTATGCAACATCAAGAAAAACATAAAGTGTGAATTTATAGTAACTTTGCGAAGGACAAGCAGAAAAAGAAGAAGAATAGAAAAGATACCTCAAAAATGTCCTCGATGATACTATTTGAAATTGAAATGCCTTTAATTACTTTCTGCAGGTTATTTTGCATTTTACTTATGATTTTAACTTAAATTTAATGTGAACATGGTAGTGTTGTACTGCGGCTAATTTGCACTGGGTTGGCTCTACTGTGCTTCCTTTGCAGGGTGGTGGTGTACGAGGGCAGGGACATTTTGTCCGACTCGGGGGCCGTGTATGACCACACCCTGGCTGGAGGCAGACTGGGACTGTTTGTGTTCTCTCAGGAACATGTTATCTTCTCAGACCTCAGATATGAGTGTAGAGGTAAGACATCCTGCTAACACTTTACATTAAGTGAAACAAAAACGTGCCTTTTTAGTAAAGTGCAAGTGAGGAATGGATCAGCAATGGCCTGATAGTAAACGCTCATTGATAGTTGCCTAATAAATCCAGCTCTTGGCATTCCATGTGAAAAATATTATTTACTAAAGAATCAACTGGGAGATCCTGTGTTAGTGAATCATTAGGTACCGGTGAGTTCATAATTATCCTTGCATTAACAACTTGCCACTGTCCTCATAACTCAATACAGTAATTACTTACACTGATTACTTGTTGCTCTTTTTATGTGGCATCAAGGACCAAAGCATACTTCAGTGGTTTCTCATTATTTCAGGTTTACCTTACCATTAATTACCCCCTGCCTCCTGTGATTATGCACAGATTATTAGCATGTTATTATATGACTGGCATAGTGAAGGCAAATTTTAGTGTAAGAAATGTATGTAAGTAAGTTGTTTCTCTAGTAGTTTCTACATTATATTTTTATGGTGTTTGCCTTTATTATGTTACAAAGAATTAAGTGCGTTTGAATGTTGAATACTGAGATACTTTTTGAGAACACCGCTCTTTTTAAAATGTATTAAGTAATTATGGACTACAGGCAATGGAGGAGTCATGTTGAAAAAATCAGTAACTACTAAGTAACTACTTTGTATGAGGTTTTGCAGCAGTACGTATACAGATAACTGCACTAACTGGTCAGTTCATTAGGTACAATTTGCTTGTACTGGTTTGGACCATTTTTTCCCTTCAGAATTCAACAATGTGCTGGAAACATTCCTAAGTGATTTTGACATGACAATGTGACGCAGTTGCTGCAGTTTTGTTCACTGTACATCTACAACGTGAATCTCCCGTTCCATCACTTCACAAACATGGTCTATTGGATTGAGACCTGGTTTCTGTGGAGGTCATTTAAGTACAGTGAACTCATGTTCGGGAAACACTGTGGTCATAAAGGGATGGACATGGTCAGCAACAATACTCAGGTCAGATGTGATGATTAAATGATACTCAGTTGCTACTAAGAGGTCCGAAGTTTGCCAAGAGAATATCGCCTACTCCATCTCACCAACAACAATGTGAACTGTAATTATAAGGCATGATGGATCCATGTTCTCATGTTGTTCACACCAAATTCTTATTATACCATCCAAGTGTCAGAGCAGAAATTGGGACACATTTCATCTTACGTTGTTTAATTGCGGTGAGCCCATGCAAACTGTAGCCTCAGTTACCACAGGAGGGACACCAAGTGTGGTCTTCTGCTGCCGTAGCCCATCTGCTTCAAGGTTCAATGTGTTGCTCCTCTAGATACCTCGGTTTTAACGAGTGGTTATTTGATTTACTGTTGCCTATTTATCAGCTCAGAGCAGTCCGCCATTCTCCTGTGACCTCTGGCATCAACAAGGCATTTTTCTCCAAGAGAACTGCTGCTAACTGGATATTTTCTCCTTTTTTGGACCATTCTCTGTAAACCCTACAGATGGTTGTGTGGAAAATCCCAGTAGATCAGTCGTTTCTGAAATACTCAGACTAGCCCATCTGGCACTAACAGCCATGCCACATTCAAATGCACTTAAATCACCTTTCTTCTCCATTCTGATACTTGGTTTGAACTTCAGCGTGTCCTCGTGACCATATCTACATGCCTGAATGCATTCAGTTGCTGCCATGAAATTGGCTGATTAGCTATTTGCATTAACAAGCAATTGACCAGGTGTGTCTAACAAAGCAGTGAGTATATGAACTAATTATTACTTAATAACTTATTAATATAATACATCCTAGCTTGTTCTTTATTTACTATAAAGTCCTAGACCAGGAGTTATTAGGTAGGTACTGATGAATTTTTCATTAGCTATAAGGTCATTCCCGAAGCATTCCTCACTCATTCTTTAGTAACTAAGCAAGCTTTTGAGTCAGTTAATTTTCCCCTCTATGCTGCTGTGGGTGATGTATAAAACTTGTAAGGTGTATTGCACTTAGCTGAGGTAAAACCTAGAGTAGTTTCCTATGGCAAGGCAAGGCAAGGCAAGTTTATTTGTATAGCACAATTCAACGACAAGGTGATTCAAAGTGCTTTACAGATATATTAGAAACAAAAACAATGATTTAAAATTGATTAAAACAAGCAAACTAACTAACAAAACAGTATATAAAATCAAAAATCAAAACAGACGTGACGGTCAGGCACCTTTTACCTTTTAAAGATCACAAGATTAGTATGGGGGGGGAGTCCAGCAGCACAAATCTGTGGCCATTATTTTTTACACTTTCCTAAATAATTGTACCTTTTGTGCTTTAAACACTTTATTAAATTAATCTGTCTACTTTTTTTTTATAGTGGAACCATCTGAAATGTATTGTCATATCAGCAACTGTACAACTGTCAAAAAGCGCAATGTTTTCTGTGTTGAACTTACCTTACCTACTATCACTGCTTCAGATCATGTCTCCACACAGCCGTTCCTAAAAGTGGCTATTTTTCTTTTTGATTCTCAGATAACTGAATTATTGTCTCGGGATAATTTGGGAATTCCACAAATATCCACCAGAGAGAGAGAGAGAGGATACACCAGACTCAGGCTTTAATCCAGCCAAGACTATCAATTAATGACCATCCTCTATCTGTCAGCTTTGTATGCAACAGTATTGATTTCAGGCTGTCTCATTCACTGTATATTACTGCTCTGACAGCATCTCTAATGACTGTAACTTCTTGTTGCTTTTCATTTTGTGCTTCCCTAATGGCTGTAAATAATTATTTATTGCCAGATGCCAGACATGAGAGGGAAAGATGCAAAGATAAATTGATGATGGAGTAAGTGGAGCACATGACTGGCGGTTACTTATCAATAAAATGTTGTTTTTTTTAATCAACTGTTCCTTTTTTCTTTTCTGATGACGCCAGTAGCTCACAGTATGCACACACACACTCGCACACACACGACTGTAGAAACATGGTCTCTAGCGTCTTCTAGTGGTAAAGGTGTTAATTACAAACAACGAGGATTTTAAACGCTGTGATAAAACTGTCCACGGGGGTATGGAGGAGTAAAATTGTAAGAAAATGGAAGCACACAAAGTTTAGATAACACATAATTTTACTCAAAAACAGTGTTTGAGGTTTTTTTTTATAATAATAAAGAAGAAAATGGGCTTGGAAAGTATAGGGTGTATCCTAACCCCTATAAAAGATGGTCTTTTGGTTTAAAATGATGTTCTGCTGTTTTAATAATGCAAAATGTATGTTTGATCGCAGTAAATCTGGGTCACCGAAGAAAGCTGACCTTGCTCATGATTTATTAATTAATTTCCATTGACTCAAAACACAAAACCCGTTCGACCGGCTTGAGAGGGAAGTGCAGTTAAAGACGCCCCCCACCTGGTAAGGTGAATGAGTGACGTCACCATTGCCCTACCACTGAGGAATGAAGAATGAGGAAGACGAGTCCATCCACCGAGTACACCATAGAAGTCTCTACCAAAAGATTCCAGGATTTCTATTTCTTTAAATTAAACTGAGTACAGTTTTTTTTTAAGTAACAAACTTTGAGCAAGTGGGATGGTACGCGGGTGCACAAGAGGCGCGTGCCTGCGGTTTATAGACAGGCACCAGTCAGCATTGAATTTCGGCCTGCTGGTTGTCGCTTACATCCTTTACCTCATCGTCGGCGCCGCGATCTTCTCCGCCATCGAGCTGCCGTACGAAGAAGCACTCCGGCAGAAGCTCAAAGCGGATCTACGGGACTTCCTGAGGAACAACTCCTGTGTGTCTGACGCTCGCCTGGAGAAGCTCCTGGCCCGCGCTCTCGAGGCCAGTAACTATGGAGTGTCCATCCTGGGTAACGACACCCAGCGTAGCTGGGACTTTGTGTCCTCCCTGTTCTTCACCAGCACCGTGCTGACCACAACAGGTGAGTCCAACGGATACAGGTGTTCAGACTTTAAAAGCCTTTGCTTCGGGTGTCGAAAATGTGAGTGGCCCATTTAGCTGAATAAATGTAAATTTGTGGCACGCTATATAAACAGGTTTCCTCGCTGTAACTAATAAGTTTATGGTTAAAGATCCCCTGTAGCCACTTTTAACACATTGGAAAATAACGTGGTTTGAATAATAAATGTTTAGGGTGTTAATTTTTTTCTTTCCAAAGGAGAAAAAATTTGGTGGTTAAGGAAATTACTTATTATTGCATTGGACTTTAAATAAGACCTTCAAGTTCAGACAAGTATGTAGAATTACAATAGACTAGCTTTAAATTTCAGTTTATCCAGTTTGTCACATATCACTGAGCAGTTCTTACCTTTAAATATATTCTGTCTCCTTCCTCTCCTGTCCTATGTTTCTTACATCATTCCCCATTTCTCAGTGAAGTTATCTCAAACTCTTTTCTCTCCCCGGGAAATACAGCAGCCGTACCTTTTGCTAGCAGACACTCTGTGACAAACTGCACACAAGCAGTTTGTGTTTTTACGGATGTTTGTTGAACTGATAGAAACATTGCATTTGAAATTACCTGCCACTTACAAAAGATACTTCCCTTCTGTTCGCTCTAGTGATGGATACACAAATAGGAATGTCTTTTCTGTTTTACCGTTCCCTCCATTTATCCTCAAATCGATTTGATGTTTTAAGGCACGCAGTGAAGTGAAACAAAAACTTTCCTCAAACGCGTTAAGCCTAAAGTAACAAACCTGTTTTGAAACTGCTACGAGAAGAAAGTACTCGTAAAAGTAAAAATAAATAATCAAATAAAGCACAGATGCCGGAAATGTTTATTAAAGACAGTAATGAATTTGTTACTTTGTTACTGATATACTTTTCTGTTACCTCAGTTTAATGTGAGCAAAGAGAAATGACATAAAAATAGCTCCCTTGGTCATTGGACATGTACTGTAAGTGAACTAACAATAAGCAAGCCATTTTAATAAATGGAGAAGAATTTAATACATCATGTAATAATGTTTTGTGTATTTAAGTCAAGATTAGCCAAGATGAGAAAAATCCCTCTGCCTAATTTTATTGATCAAGGTCTAGCTTAAATGTCCATTTATAAATAGTGTGTGTTTCAAGGTGTCTCTATTACATGTATTGTTATTGTATTGTATGAATTTTGGTCCAGATTCTATAAATAATCCATGAAAGCAGTATTTGTCCTGTCTTTCAGGGCCTTTGTATAAGTAATACACTCAGGAAAGTAGTATTTTTATCAGACATATAGAAGAATAAATCCTTATCTCAATTCATTTGTTTTTTTAAGATAAATAAAAAAAACGATAAGTCTTTGTGCAAACCTTCAGCATTTGTCGCCAACACTTCTTGAGGGTGAGACTTTTATGTTTACATGAATGCATGAATTTATTTATTTTTCAGTTTAAGAGATATAAGTTTATGATGGCTATATTAGCATTTTAACAGAGTAGTTGTTGCATCACATACGACATGGCACAAGTGGTAGCTTATTTTAACCAAAAGGAAACTAATAGGCAGCGTGAAATCATGCAAAGTTTACAGAGGATATCCTAAAAAATGTTAAAGATAAATTAATTATTTCTTTATTTCTATAGCCTGCTATCTGTGCTTCATTTTAAGACTTGACGAGTCTTGTTTGACGCTAACTACAGTTACTTTTCACAAATCCCGGGTGAATCCTGTAGGAGAATTCCTCCTTTTATTACTGTAACTCTGTAATTTACATAATGCCACATGTTTTGTTGTGTCTTCAGGTTATGGCCACACTGTTCCTCTCTCTGATGGGGGGAAGGCTTTCTGTATCTTCTACTCCCTCCTTGGCATCCCTGTTACCCTCTTCTTCCTCTCTGCTGCGGTTCAACGGATCATGTCCGTGGTCACACGTCGTCCACTGTCCTACTTCCATCGACGATGGGCTATGTCTAAGTCACACCTGGGAGTCATCCATGCTGCCTTCCTTGCCTTCATCACGACCCTTACCTTTGTGATTATCCCTGCATGGATCTTTGTCGCTTTCGAAAAAGACTGGAACTTCCTAGAGGCTCTGTATTTCTGCTTCATCTCTCTGACAACTATTGGCCTTGGAGATTATGTACCAGGAGAAACTCCCAATAAAGACTTAAATCCACACCCACACCTCTACCGGCTGGCCATTACAGGTGAGTAGAATTTAAAAAGGCAGTCACATTTTTTTTATCTAATAGATCATGAAATAGATGATTTATTTTGTAAAAAGAAAAAATTAAATATCAAAAATATGGAATATTTTTTGGTCTTTCTCTTGCCTATAAGATAGTTTTTAGTGAAGAGGAAACAGAGAAGACACACAGTAAAGGGCTTCGTGTCTCCTGCTCAACCTCTGAGCTAAACCGACACCTAGAAATTCCTGACTTTTAATAAAATATCTATATAAACGCACCTTTTGTTCCAAAGACGCAATGTGTAAAATGCCATCTATCACACTTCAAGGTTATTGGATCATTAGAAAATAAAAAGAAGCAATTCAAATATAATTATGTTTTCACAACTAAAAGCTGTTCTATTGATTTAAAAAGTCAATAAACACATGGAGAATCAGGCTCAGTGACTCTGAAAATAAGGTAAACGTCTTCTGATATTCATCAGAGTTTTTCTAAGAATTGAGCCACCCATTCATGATCTTCCCCTTTGCTAAAGTCAGTCAGCAGGCTAGGCAGGATATTCTAGACATCCTTCTCCCCAGTTCCTCCTGCCAGATTACAAGGATTTCCCATGCCAGATGAGATATATAATCTCTCCAGCGTGTTTTGGGTTTATCCCAGGGTCTTCTCCCAATGGGACCTGCCCAGAAAATCTCCAAACACCCAGTAGGCATTGTAAGAAAATGCCTGAACCATCTCATCCGGGTCTTTTTAGCATGGGGTAGCAGTGCTTTCACTCCCAATTCCCACCAGCCATTACTCTCTGTTTGGACATTGTAGAGAACCTGAACAATTTATACACAGGTGTGCACTACTTTCTTCATACAACAGTGCAAAGTGGCTTTAACAGGAGTACAAAGGAGGGTGGAGTGTGCAACTAAGCAAGTAAACAAGAACATCGCAGTTTCTTTTTCTAGAGTTAGGAAGCTCCCTAAATGATAACTGTAAGAGCCAGAGTGCTTTAGTTAGTAATACGTAGTGTTTTAATAAACCTTTAGCTTTTTGGCAATTTTCTTTAAAGAACAGCCTTCATTTCTTAAAACAAAAATATTCTGATGAGTTTTAAAAGAGAATGACTTAATCAAATCAATAAAGGTGAATGCTTCATATTTTCTAGCCATTTCTTGACTCTTCGTCATGTGCATTGGATTTTAAAGATTTTCATGAGGTTTAATGCTAATGTCAGCATGCTAACATAATCACACTGATAATACTAACATGCCAGTGTTCACCAGGTGTGATATTTACTTTGCTTGCCAGTGTGGGATAGTATGTTTGCATTCCTCCATAACTTATACGGAGGGCGAGGCAGTTGTATTTTTGGGCATCTGGCAAATGTAGATCCAGCATCAGCTCGTCAGTTCTGTTATCAACTCTGAAGGCAATAAGTGCATAATGACTTTGCTGTGGGTGTTCATTTTGGGGATGTGTTTTAAAGCTTGTAGGCTTAAAATGATTGCCTGCTGCGTCCAAGACTGAACAAAAGCAACTGTTTGCGTTGAGGGCCTGACAGATAATTACTGAGGCGAAACATGCTATTAATCTCGTTAAGCCAAGGGGTTCTTCAGAGTCAGGTTATAATTTTCCGTCGGCTCCATGTTGCAGCGGCTCCTTTCACTGTGACACCTTTTTCCCCCCAGTTTTGTTTGTTGGTATAAAAAATTCTATGTGTTCCTGTAACAGTAGTAATGTTATAATTACAAATTTATCAAACAAAACAGTCGCCGTTATTTCATCTGCACCTTTTATTTACTGACCAATAAAATTGCTCTTCCAGTCTACTTGCTGCTGGGCTTGGTGTGTGTCCTGGTTGTGCTGGAGACATGTTGGGAGCTTCCCCAAATGAAACGCCTTAGACATCGATTTTATGAAAAAAACCTTCGGGAACTGGACTCAGAGACCACCAACATCATCGACCGTGATCAATTGAGCGACCAGCTGGCCGATACTGCAGATCATGTGATAGATCACCCAGCAACCATCCCTTCTGTGTCAGAACAGGCTGCATCCATACGACAGAACGGGAAGGCAGCGCCTTACACCCTGGCATCAGGAAGTGCTCTTAACGGAAAACCGAGATGACAGATTGTGTTGGCTTCCAGGGTATGTTAGTACAAACTATTCTTAAGGGGCTGTGTAATATTCTCCATGCATGGCTGCACAGGACGTACCGGCTTTGACCTCTTTCTATGTCTAGAGTTTATAAGGAGTCTGAACAAATTTATGTATATATCACCATCTAAGCGAAGTTATTTAAAAAAGCGATTGCTCTTTTCCATTGCCAAGAATGAAGTGTTTATCAGCATGGCGTTGTTTCCACCCTTACTGTGCAATTCCCTGCCGATAGAGATCTTGGCACAGAGGAAGGGCTGGGCCCCCCCAAACAGAGGGAAACCCCCACAAGTTTCCATTTCCTGCCAAGTCTTGATGTTGAAATTCCAAAGCAGCTCAGTCTGCTCCAGAGGATTTAACATCCACTCTTGGCACATTTCATAATCTATGGTGGTATTTGCATAGGAAATTTGCCTTATTGAAAACAGTAAAGCAGTACCAGAAGAATCAGGCGTGTCGTCAGTGAGCCCTGTGTACACTATATACAGGAATTACAAGACGATCAGGTGATAGCAAAGAATACAAATGTTTTTCTTCATGGTTCCTTACAAGTTATGATTAGCCTTCAGTTCTTGGTGGAATGTAGAAAATCAAGTGGTAAAAACCCTGTAATGTGTCGCTTCTTGACACTAGAGGGCAGCACTTTCATATTACAGATGGATTTACATGAAGCTGTTACTTGAAATTGCTATCTCATGCTGTTTAGGGAAGTATTTCTTTAAAAGTCTAACCAAGGTGCAAAAATATGTCATTTTTAACACTGTGGGAGATGAAGGGATATGCCGAAAGACGTTTTAGTAGCAATAAAACAAATATACAATTAATGCTGGATGTTTTATGCCTGCAGTTATTTCTGTTTTTACTCACTTACAAAGCAGCTTTAAAACAGACTCAAATCTTGACAATCAGAAATAATTGTTTTTTGGGGGTTTTTTGTTAAGGGATTCAATGAAAAGCAGAACTTTGAAATTGTTGGTTTGTTGTTGTTTTTAATCAAAAATCATTTGTTTTTTGGGATAAAATGTAAATGCATCATGAAACATTAAAGAGTACGAGTGATTATGTTTTTAACAAGTGTAAAAGTGCCAATCTGATTTTTTTTTAATAAACTTTAGTTATTTTATTTATACAGTAGTATCTTCACATTCACATATTCATTACTTAAGACACTTACATGCAGACCGACGTGGGTACAAGCACACTTTCAGGTGTCACACATTCAAACTCAAACATACACACGCACACACACATACACTCTTATACAGGAAATGTCCTTCAAGCAGGGATGCACAACTTACTCCTTTGTGGGAGACACTGTTATCCTTGAATCCGTATGACCTTTAACCTCCCCACTACCTAGTAAAACAGTCAACACAAACACAAACATTTGCAAATGTCCTCTATCTCATTTGCCACTCACACATACTCACAGTGCAGTGCAAAAGTCTTAAGCCACCCTTCATGTCTTTATTTCTTGCTTGGAAAATGGGGGATGGGGTAGTGATTTAATGAAACATACAAATATACATGGAAACACAATGAAACACAAGCAAAAAAACGGTTTTTACAAATGCAACAAATTTGAAGGTTGATATTTGACTACTTTTATTCTTTAACACAGCCTTTTCTCTCTTGGGCAATATTTCTTGTAATTTTTGAGTAGAAAGTAGTTGTCCAAACTTCTTGAAGGACATTCAAAGCTCTTCTTTGGATGTTGGCTGCCTTTTGTTCTGTTCTCTTGCAAGATGATCTCACACTGCTTCAGTAATGTTGAAATCTGGGCTCTGGGGAGGTGAATCCATGACTGATAGTGTCCCATTGTGTATTTTTCTATCCAGGTATGCTTTTACTGTCTAAGCAGTATGTTTGGGATCATTATCACGCTAAAAATGAATTCCCTGCCAATCGTTTGTTCCAGACGATGTTGCATGGTGGATAAGATTCTGACAGAATCAGAGCCAGATGCATTTCTCCAGTTATCTGTCAAGTCTTTGCTGGATTCTTTCCTATTGCTTAAGGAAATCACTTAAAGATACCTTTCATCTCCTGTAGATAGTTTTTCAGGCCTGCCAGTTCTTCCTTGTCCAGTTTCCTCAATTTATTTAAGGACACATTGCACATGATGCTGAGATATTAAGTTTAAAAAAATAATAGCTCTTTGTTGGTGAAAAAGACATTTTGTGCCTGTTAAATTGTGTTATCGTTGGCATTTTTCACGAATTCAATGAAAGAAATGTAAACACATGATACGTTTTTGCAACAGCTGTTAATAACAGAGTGCTTAAAGATACTATTTAAAATGAGTTCATTGCTTTGTGTGTCTGTTTTGTGTTGACAGAACACTAGTTCATCCCTTGAGCTAGGTGTCTTCTTTTATACTTGAATGACTCATAGGTCAGCGTTAAGTGGCTTAAGAAAAAAAATCCTCTTAAATGGCGAGGTACAAAGACTGAACTGAAAATAAGTGAAAAAGCAGCCAATGTCTAAAGAAGAATTGTGAAAGACCTTCAGGAAGTCTAGAGAACTATTGCTCAAGAGAGCTTAAAAATAATACTTGTTTGTGTAGGTTCTCAGTCATCGAGGTTATGGTTGTCTATGGAGCTTGGAAAGAAAAGAGCCTGGACTTCTTTAAGTTTCTTGAAGACGGTTCACCTCTCGCTGCTTAGACTACAAGTACATGTGGCTCCTTGAAAGGAAAATATAAATAGATGAGGAGTGACTCGAGATTTTTGCACATAACTGTACATGCATACAAACGTTTCAGAGTGTTTATACAATTTGTGTTTTCTTGGAGCAACGGGGCCAGAATATGCGGAGGGCGAGAAGTAAGAGGAGGCCAATGAGTAGTATTGTCATGATGGTTACTACGGAGACGTAGCCGGCATGGGGGAGAGGAGGTGAGTCAGGAGCCTCAGCTGGGATCATGTTGGTGAGATTCAACATGTAACCCAGAGTCCAGCCTGCATCACTGCCTTTTATCTGGAAACAAAGAAGAAGGGAAGCGATCGCCATAAACATAAACTGTTGACAAATTCAAATAAAAAGTGTTTAAATTCAGTTGTCTTAAAAAGCTTTGCTACTACTAGAATATCTTCAGTATGCCAAA